TTCCAATAAGTAGCAGGAATTTGAAAAAATGGGCAAAAAGAAAAAAAGGGGGGGTGAAGGGTGTGGTAAAAGGAATGGATTTCAAGGTGAAAAGGCTTGTGGGGAGTGTGCAATGTTTGGGTTCCGCAAAGAGGGACATACCCCTCGACTTTGTTATAATTTTCAGGAAGGCTCATCTACGTTTGTGAACCAACAATGTCTCGGTATTCAGAACAGGAAAATCCCATCGTATGGCAGTGTTCTTCATAATGGGTGGCTGATGCTATAAGCATTTCTACTTTGTCAATTTCATTCAACCCACTTTCAGCACAATGAAATGCAAGCTTTTACCTCTTTCAACCTTTTTAACGTGGACAAACCCTTGAAATAACTTTTAGTAATTAGTAAACCCTGCTGTACATTAGTGTGATGGTTACTGGGAAGAATGCGCCTTACATTTGTGGTCAGTGGAAATAATCTTTCCCCTAATAGATAATTAAAAAGATCAATGTTGTCAGTGGCTGCTCATCATAGAGGCAGAAGTTGCTTACTGCTCAAGGAACCCCTATCAATCTTTGGACTAACTCCAGTTAGGAAAGGCTGCTCCAGATTTTCAATTACCACTGGAATTATAATCCTGCAGAGCTCACACAAATCCTCCGTACAATAACTTGTTAGAGAAGATTAAGTAACATTTGTAAGATTATGTCCAACACTATATATTGCCGGCTGCATCATACTCCTAAAGTCTGATACATGTACTGCTTCAGTGTATGTTGTGCAATTTAAGCAAGCATAGCTGGAATGACAGGTTCTGAAGAAACAAAAGGGGGAAAAAAAACCAAACAAATAAGATACTGTATATGCAGTACTGGCCACTGACACTCGGCCAATATCTGCAAGTAAAAACCACAAACACTATAAAAACCGACAGCGCGCACTACGAGAGCTTTCCCTGTGCCGGTGAAGTTACCTCCTATGCGTTCCAATGTTTTCAATTGGATACTGCCAATCTTTAAGGAAGGCGGGCCAGAGGATAACACTTTCATAACATTCCATCTAATAAGACTTTCTAGCTGATACTGTTTTTATACTATATTTCCATCCTTTTTTTTTTTTTACTTTTTACCCCTTTTTTCCTATTTTGATCCATTAATGCAGAAACAATCCAGTGATATTTATAACAATTTTTTGTTTAGTTTAGTCATGTGGATAGGGCAGGGTTAACTAGCAGAGAGAGAAGGCTGGCCTTCCTTGAAAAAGATTGGTGGTATTCAATTGAAAAGTGTAAGAATAGGCAGGAGGTGACATCATCAGCACAGAACTGCTCTAGAGCGTGCACTGTTTTTTTAGTAATCCAGAATTTATTTGCTTGCAGAGATTGGCTGAGTATCAGTGGTCAGAACTCAGCCACATATTTCTACATAGCTCTTTTATGCTATTTTTTCCCCCTTGCTCCTCCTACACGTCATTCCATCTACACTTGCAAATTGCCTAAATTGCACAACATGCACTGAAGCAGAACAGCTATCAGGCTTCAGCAATATGGTGTGTTTGGATACAAGATTATAAATATTATGTAATCTTCTATAAACAAGTTATTGTGCTGAGGCTGTGTGTGATCCTGCAGAATTTACTATTTGTTATTCTCCTTATTGCGCTTAAGTTGTTTGTTATCATTTATGAGAGCCAGTGACTACCAGATCAGACTAGTCTGTACACAAAGCACTCTGCATGGGACCTAAGGACCAGGTGAACTTTTCTAAGTACTTTTCACCTTTAATGCCATTTATGTTACTGTCGCTTTTTGACTATTTTGTAATACTGTATCTTTTCTGTAAATGTTGTCTACCACAGTTTTTCTTTTCGAAAAAAATATTTTAAAATCTTTAAGCTGATCTCTAAATACTCTTAATCAGAAATTAAAGAATTATTGCCTCTATGAAGAAATCTACCATTTTTAAAAGTCTGGTATATTCCAGTCTAATGTGACAGCGAGTGTCACAGACATGCTACTATATAACAACTTCCCACTGTGCAGGCTGAACAGTGTCATTGGTTGCTAGAATGCAGGTAACTGCCAGCGCCCTAGCAACTAGCGATCCCACTGCGTGGTAGCTTCTTTCAAATTGTAAACAAGCTGGTGGGCATCCGAGGTGAAGTCATTTATGTCAGCCTGCATCCTGGTCTGTTTGTTTACATTCCACAGTCAGAGGAAAGTCATTTGAAATGGCATATCAGCAGGAGCAGATTGGCTTGGGATATTCACTGCATGAGACATTTTTAAAAATCTTTTTCTAATAAAAAGGACTTTATTTGCGTTGCGTTGTGTATTTATTTACTATGTGTAAGTACAGCACAATATCACTTAAGAGTGGATGGTGGTTTAATTGTTAACACTATTTATTCCCCTCTACAGACCCCCACATCCACCATAGGAAGGATGTAAGGCAGAGACCTTTGCCCCCATCAATAAGGGTGCTTTGCTAGATGTGGAGTTACATGCATGGTTTTTTTTTTTGCTGAGGTTCTCTATCCATACCAGAGCCTCTTTATGACATACAGCCTTGGTGGCCAGGAAAGGGGGACGCAGCAAGCGTCCCCCCCCCCCCATTTTGAACCTCACGGCATGAGATCCCCCTGAAAATTCATACAAGACCCTTATTCATGAGGAGGGTTTGGAATGAATTATAAGGGGGACCCTACACAAACAAAAAAGAAAAGCGTGGGGTCCACCCTACTCTATACCAGATAGAACCTTATCCTGAATCATACCAGGCCACATGCCCTCAACCCTGGGGACATCCCTGGCAAAGCATCTTGTACTCATAAAGATGGGACCTCTTCCCCCCCCCATGTGAATAAGTAAGGCATACATAGTACTCCTGGGTACTCATAATAAAAAGGTACAAATAATAAAGATACAAACTAAACACACAACACAATTTCACATCTGAATAACGATCCTGCATCACATTTTTTGCACATTATTAGAGCAACGCTATTCATTTAAATGGGCCTCCCTCTACTCTAAAAATGCACCAAATTCTGGTGCTGAGCCAAGTGCATTTTGTGATGCTCATTTTTGCAAGTTTATCACAGAGAATATGTTCAACAAGATGCGTGGCTGCTACACACATTTGTGCATCTCGCACTTTAGCGCATTTACAGTATGCCAAGATGTGAACAGGGCCTGAGTTCTTTATTAATAAAGAAAGTCCCACAATGTAAATACATTTTCCATCACATGATCCACTAATATAGATACACTGACATTATCTACTTCCAATGGGTGCTAGTTGTAAATGACATTTCCCCAGCCAGAAGCCAAATATAAACAAACAAAGGGGCAGGAGAATCTGCCTTACATCTTTGACCAAAAATGATCATTACTATATTTAGTCAATTACATCACCCAGAATTTTCCATTTGTTTCCCCCCCAAATCAACAGACTGAAATATAAACTTAATTTTCACAGTGCACATCCCAAACATTTTAGAGATACTATCTCTCTCTCCCAATTCATTCATATTTTACGGATGAGAGAAATGCATAAATAGTACTGCTGAGGGATACATTTTTAGAGAGGGGCTATCCTGACTATAATTTTTACTGTAGACAATGCACTTGTGAAAGCTCATGATAGATTTAACAATCTTAATTCAAGCAAAGAACCAGTTAAAGGAGTTCTTTTCTTGAAACCTACATTTTTTTTTATAGAATATATCTTAAGAAATTGATGGTACACAGCTTGGAGGGAAATGGGGATTTGTGTTCAGAGGTTAGGAGGCCCCCGTTGCATACATATAAACACAACACAAATCTCTTCATAAGAGCAGACCCGTGAGAATAATGTTGGAAAGCACATGTCAAAGTAAGACAAGAAGGGATGATACAGATAATGCAATTGCAACGTCTATAGCGGCACGGTCTATGGTTCATTTTTCAACCATCCACATTCAGGGTGCAGTTTTTTCATTAAAGGCTACTGTCCTTGTTTACTGACATATGTTGGGAAAAATCACAGGTCACTTTATGTTGAATTAGTCTTTATAATGTAATAGAACATGACAATAACAATGGAAAAATCACATACGACAAAAGAAAAACTGCCAGTATTTATCGTCTGAGGAATATAACAAAAGAAAATAAGTGAAGACGTCTCGGTTTTTCCAAAAATATAGGCATGGATAGATCAAACATTTAAATGACTTCCCCCCAAGCCACCATATGTAGTTATAGAAATACTCATGTCACATTACAGTAGAAAAGCACATGCTGAGAGGATGGAGGTGGTGGAAGATTCGTCATTTATCACAGGCATGAGATTCTAAGAGCTGAGATCTAAGATGTGTCAATAGTACAGAGAGGCTGTTTTAATCAAGGATGCCATTTGGCAAAAAAATTTAGGAAAGATGAGATTTCTAATTGCAAACATTTTTTGAAAAGCACACAATTGATTAATATAGTGAACCATTTCAATAATTGAAGAGAAGACATTCGAATTCCACTTTCTCACTATCTTAAATGTATCTACCAATAGAATACTGTAGGTAAAGGTATTGCCTTTGAATACTTGGGAACCACACGTCACTTTAACCACTTGGCTACAGGGCACTTATACCCCCTTCCTGCCCAGGCCCGTTTTCAGTGCTGTTGCACTTTGAATGACAATTGCATGGTCATGCAACACTGTACCCATATGAAATGTGTATCATTTTTTTAGAGAGCTTTCTTTTGGTGGCATTTAATTACCTCTGGGTTTTTTATTTTTTGCTAAACAAACCAAAAACTGAAAATTTAGAAAAAAAAAAGTTTTTTCTTAGTTTGTTATAAAATTTTGTAAATAAGTGATTTTTCTCCTTAACTGATGTGCGCTAATGAGGCTGCAGTGATGGGCACTGATAGGCTGCACTGATGAGGAGGTACTAGTAGGTGGCACTGACGGGCATTGACAGACATCACTAATGGACACTGAAAGGCAGCTCTCATATGGCACTGATAGGCATTGATAGGTAGCACTGATAGGTGACACTGAAGTGCAGCTCAGATGGGCACTGATATGTGGCATTAATATGCCCTGGTAGGTACTGATATGTGGCATTAATGTGGCACTGATGGGCACTGGCAGGTGGCATTGATGGGCACTGACATGTGGCACTGCTGGGGCTACACTGATCATCAGGGCACACTGATCAAACAGTGCCCTGAGGGATGCCGATAACTGGCATTTCCCTATTTACATGCAATCAGCTGTGATTGGACACAGCTAATCACATGACCGAGCCGACATCTTCAGCTCTTTCCATTGATGGGTGATCTGCTGTGTCCGAGAGAGACACAGCGCACCACCGATCGCCATGCTGCACAGTTAGTGTGGGAGGACGTCATATGACGTCCTCCCAGAACGAGAGAACTGCCTTGTGTCTGTCATTACCTTATATGGCGGGCGGGAGGCAGTTATATCAGTTTCAAAAACACTGGGGTGACATCCATGTCAGCAAAAAAACTATTAACCATGATAAGCCAGTGGCAGTGCATTTTGTTAAAGCTCAACACCAAAACAGACAAACTTTGTGGCATAGTCATTGACCTTATACCTGAGAGTATTCATGGTAATAATCAGTGCTGGATTTAGACCTTGAGGGGCCTGGGGCACTACAAGATCTAAGGGTCTCTCAACACAAATTAAATATGACAAATAAAGTGATATGAAATGAATGATTAACCGCATTTGCTCTAAAAACTATGCAAGGTTCTGAAGAAGACAGTCTTATTTTTTTTTCTTAGTCTAATTGACTGTAAAAATACACATTACACAGGTAATTGGAACGGGCAAGTCATACATTACAGTTATACGTCACACTACAAAATTTACAAAAAAAAAAAAAGTCTTCCTGCACTTAGCATATGCAAAATGTTCTCATCTTGAGGACACTGTTCGATAGCCAGTAGGCACTTAGTCTTTCATGGGTCTTTGTGGTTCTCAGAGTTTCTTATTTGTTGAATGACCTTTCTCCTGAACAATTAGTGACCATCATGCTCAAACATATTCTAAGAGCTACAATAACACCTTGAAAGGTATCAGCAAGCACTTCATCGTATAATAAATGAGACATGACTAGAGCTTGGCAAAAGGCTGCAAACTGGACGATTACCTCAACAAACACACTGCTGAAGTCTCGAAGCAAATCACTAAGTTTCTTAGCCTCAGTTTTAATCTCTGCATCAGGTGGACTACATAAGTCAACTAATACTATGAACTTGTCATACACTGGTTGGTATGCTAATGTTAGCAGCTGACTAGAGCAGACCTGCCAAAAGGAAGTAGTATATTACGAATCCTATGCGGAGTAAATATTCACTATTATAGTGGATGCAAATATTTTATTAAGATCAATTAGATCATGAAAAGGTAGATATTAGAATCACGGTGAACATATTGTCAATCATGAAAATAAAATAAAAAATAAAAAAACAGAAAACAAAACAGCGTTCTTCTTTTTCACTTAGTTGCATCTATGGCAGAAAAGACCAAACTGAATATTGGGCAAAGACTTCTTCTGTATTTGGTATAGGAAGTCCATATTTCAAATCCAAATATATGTATATCTTCAGTATTAACTTTTCTTAATTTTTGTCTTTTATCTTTAAGATATCAAACTTTTCCTTCAAATGTTCATCAAAATGTGGTGATGAAAAATGAATGATGAAAATCCTGAAGAATAAATATATGATAAATACAAGGATCCAGGAATAGATGCTAAAGGCCTATTGTTATCTTGCATCATCAAGCTAAACCCTAAATGCAAATATCATGGCCAATATTGGAGGAATGTATTGTGGTATACAATATTACCTTCTTTGTAATTCATCATCATCACATAGATTGGTTAAGACAATATTCCTTAAATAGGATATTTTCAGTGGATAACATTAATAAACTCTAAAATAAACAGATGTTAATACATCAAAAAATCAATCATAGTTATGGGTGATTTTAAAAGAGGAAATAATTACCCTGCTAGAGATCATATTTGTTTCCACTGATAAAGTATGGATCTGTGTGGATCCTAAGTGAAGATGAGAGGTGTATATCCTCCTAGAATGCCAAAAATTGTATAAACTGTGGTAGGTATATCTTGATTGTGTAATGTTGCACTAGACATGTATGTAAATAGCTTTCTAATGGCTCCAAAAATTCCTCTTCTATATAAGAGCAAGGAGGTTCCTTTGAGAGGTTCTTAGGACAGGTCGTCCAGTTTTCCATATGATAATGCTTATCGCAAGATACAAAAATCAGTATTCACCTATAAAAAGGCCCAAAATTTTCTCTATAAATAAGAGTACTGGAGTTCCTTAATAAGGTTCAGAAAATATAAGTCCCGTGTTACTAAATAGCAAGATAGGAGTAATCTCTATTCAAGGGTTATTTTTGAAAATAATGAGAAAATGTAAATACCGTATTTTTCGCTCCATAAGACGCACTTTTTTCCCCCTAAAAAAGGGGGGAAAATGTCAGTGCGTCTTATGGAGCGAATATCAAGCGGCCGGTCCGGTATTTCTGCCGCCACCATGTCAGAATACCGGGCCGGCCGCTCAGCTGCTCTCTCCTGCAGGGCCTTACCTGTTCCTCGCTCCAGCGCTGCACAGTCTTCCCGCGCTGGCTTCTGTGACAGCCGGGTGCCCACTGCGCATGTGCTGCGCTTTGTGAATGATCCGGTGTCTTCTGGGACACATGACGGGTCCCAGAAGGCACCGGGCTATTCACAAAGCGCAGCGCTTCTCGCACATGCGCAGTGGGCACCCGTCTGTCACAGAAGCCGGCCCGGAAGAAGAGAGAGAAGAACAACTCCGCGGAAGTGTGTCCGCAGTCTCTGGTCATCTCCTGCACTGTGTCCGCAGTCTCTGGTCATCTCCTGCACTGTGTCCGCAGTCTCTGGTCATCTCCTGCACTGTGTCCGCAGTCTCTGGTCATCTCCTGCACTGTGTCCGCAGTCTTTGGTCATCCCCTGTACTGTGTCTGCAGTCCATTGGTTCAGAATATTTTTTTTTCTTGTTTTTCGCCTCTAAAACCTAGGTGCGTCTTATGGTCAGGTGCGTCTTATGGAGCGAAAAATACGGTATATAATTCTATTATTGTCATCTGCTGTAAACTAATAGCTAATAACACTATCTGAATTTTAACTTGATATATAACCATCCTTCAATGATAAATGCCAAACATGTAAGTTTTAGAATTTAATTTAGATTAACAACGTAGTGATGACATTTTAACACACGAGGGTGACAAAATGAAGAAAGTATGCAAATTTTGCACTATAAAAAAGGAATGTGAAAAGCTGTCCCCTCCCAGTTCTGACAAAGTCCACGATGATTGGCAGATGAAACGCGTCAACGTAATGACATCACGTTCTGCGTCCTTCCATGCTGCAATGTCCATGAGGGGAATGAGGCACGCCACATGCCTCCATCTTGGAAAAACGCAAGGCAAGACAAAAAACCGCCAGTACTTAGAATATAATGAACACCTGGGAGTCATCCTAAGTACTGGCAGTTTTCCGTCTTGCCTCGTGTTTGTCCAAGATAGAGGCGTGTGGCGTGCCTCATTCCCTTCATGGACATCGCAGCATGGAAGGACAGAGAATGTGATGATGTCATTATGTTGACGCGTTTCATCCGCCAATCATTGCGGACTTCATCAGAACTGAGAGGGAACAGCTTTTCACATTCCTTTTATAGTGCAAAATTTGCATACTTTCTTCATTTTGTTGCCATTGTGTTAAAATGTCATCACTACATTGTTAATCTAAGTTAAATTCTAAAAACTTACATGTTTGGCATTTATCATTGAAGGATAGTTATATATCAAGTTAAAATTCAGATAGTGCTATTAGTTTACAGCAGATGACAATAATAGAATCATATATTTACTTTCTCATTATTTTCAAAAATAATCCTTGAATAGAGATTAGTCATAACTTGCTATTTAGTAACATGGGACTTATATGTTCTGAACCTTATTAAGGAACTCCAGTACTCTTATTTATAGAGAAATTTGTGGGCCTTTTTATAGGTGAATACTGATTTTTTTTTTTTTTTAGAACTATTGTTTTTTTTTATTGGTCATTTGATTGTTTACAACAATTAACAGTATTGTTGCAATAATTATTACAGATTTGTAAAGGATATAGATATCAGAGTATGAGCATATTCAACATCTTACAAAATTCAGCTTATAAACAATGTGACTTTCTGGTCATTACTGTCATCAATACATTTCTTTTTTTTGATGAGCATGCATTGTTTGTTTGAAATATTCAGTAAGTCATTAGTTTAGAGAAGAAAGGAAGGTTGTGAGAAGTGGAGATTAGAGATAAATAGAATAAAGAATGAGATTTGAAATTATTATATATTTTTTTTTGGATAATAGGGTGATAATAATAGAGTGGAGTAGCTGTATCTCTAGTGGTGTTTGATTGGTACATCTTATAGTTCCTTATTTAACGGTGCATCGATGATCTTTGAGCCATAAGTCCCAGTGTTTCTGGAATTTAGCAGATGAGTTGTGTATTTTAGAAAAGGTTTTTTTGAAGGCTGTGTTTTTGTTCAGGATTTCAGTTATTGTGTGAATGGATGGCGTTGTAGTTTGTTTCCAAAGCCTGGCAATACTCAATCATGCCGCTATCAAAATATACATTATTACAGTTCTGGACTGTGGTGGCCAGGAGTCTATTCCTATTCCCAAAAGTGACAGGGCTGGATCAGGAATTGGAGAGGAGTTTGTAATTTGATGTTATAAACGTGAAGATATCTGACCAGAATGGAGTAATTTGTGGACATTCCCACCATATATGGTACAAGGATCCTTGTTGGTTACAGTTCCAACATAATGAGGAGTAGCGGTTGGATGAACGTGCTGCCAAATTTTGTGGAGTTATGTACCATCTGTGTAATATCTTTTGGGCTGATTCCCAATGGTTAATGCATCTGGTAGTTTTCCTAGTCCAGTTTCCTGCTGTTTGCCATTGTTGAATCTGGAATTGTTTCCCAATGTCTCGTTCCCATTTATGCATCGTTGGTCATTTTCCTTGGTGACGATGTTGAAGAAGGATATTATATATGATTGAGATACCTCGTTTGTGAGAATCTATTCTTTCATAAAAGTTGGTCAAAGATCTGACGAGAGAATCTTCTTGGTATTCCAGGTTGCGTAATGCATGAGGAATTCTTAGATATTTGAAAAAGTCCTTATACGTAATTTTGTATGTTTCAGAAAGTTGTTGAAATGTTTGTAGGGTACCATTGGCATATAGTTGGGCAAGATTTTGAAGGCCTGCTTTTGACCAGGATTTAAGTTCTAGATCAGGTGTCATC